TACTCCAGCGAAGAAACCTCCTCCACCCTCACCATCCTGTACCATGCCAACCACCGTTGACTCTGACAAGGATAAGGGTCAAATCCTGGATGAACACATGTAAATCCAAAATCATGGAGATTTTCCGGCCTATAATTCTTCTTCATCCCCTGATGAGGCTGTAATACCAAAAGATACTCACCCAATGGATGATTTGAAGTAATTCCAAGAGATTTTCAAAAGAGAAGCTGAGAGCCAAGATGTCAAGCTGCAGGAAGTCAAGGGAACATCCATCCCATCCATTAGGCCATCATGAAAGTCTGAGATGAAATTTGGCAAATACCCACTTCCATCCAACCAACATGTAAGAAGGCCAACAGGAAATTGGCCTTCATCTCTCCAAAGGAGTGTGTGGTGTGTTTTTTTTTTTTTTAAACCCACAACCCAATTCTCTGGTTATGGATGCTGCCAATCATCATGCAACTCCCTCAGTCCTGACCATTATCTAATGATAAGGGACACAAAAAGTTAGATCTATTTGGAAGAAAGGTACATTCCTCAGCCACACTACAGCTAAGAATTGCTAACTACTCCACGCTCTTTTAGCGAACCATAATTTCAATAATTACTCCAAACTTGCTGAGCTTATGGAACATCTCTCAGATTCCAAATTGATTATTTCTGAAGGGCATACCATCACACATACAGACTTTCTTTCCTCAGTAGACGTAGCTGATACAGCAGCCAGGGCAACAGCCATGACGGTGGTAATGAGAAGGGCTTCATGGCTTCTATCAGCCGGAGTGCCTAAGGAACTCCAGTCAAAGGTGGAGGACCTTCCGTTCGATAAACATAAGCTCTTTGCAGCCAGTACAGATGAGGGCCTGCATAGCAGCAAGGACTTGTGCACTATGCTTTTAACACTCAGCATGTACACACCTCCATACCACCAGAAGCATTATATGCCATACCACAGATATAGAGACAGCTATTACAACCGCACACGACAAAAGCCATACAACTATAACCGTCCCAGACGACAAACCCAAAGAGTGCCCACCTCAGTCCCGCTCCTCCAGTTCCTAGGCAACTAAACAACAAATTTGAACATTTGGTTAAGGGTTTGCCTGACCCTCCCCCCCCCCCTTCCCTCCCCTGCCACCAAACCACCCAACAGACTTCATCCCTTTTACCACCAATGGGACTCTGTAACGTCAGATCAGTGGGTGCTAAAAATTATCTGCACAGGATACTTCCCCTTCATGTCCCTTCCCCCTACCCATCCTCCTTCTCTGACCCTCTTCAGAGACCCCTCTCACAAGGTTCTCCTCAAACAAGAAATTGATTACCTTCATTTAGGAGCAATAGAGAGGGTCCTAGATGCTTTCTGGGGAAGAGGATTCTACTCCAAATATTTCCTGATTCAGAAGCTCACAGGTGGCTGGAGACCTATATTAGATTTCTGCAAGCTAAACAAATTCCTGCGGAAACAACGATTCAAGTTGGTAACACTGGCTTCAATTATATTGGCACTGGACGAAGGGGACTGGTTGGCAGCCTTCCACCTACAGGACACATATTTTCACATCGCCATACACCCGTCACACATGGTACCTCTGATTCACTGTGGGCAATGATCACTTCCAGTACCTTTCAAATTGTCCTCCGCCTCCTGTGTCTTTTTTCAGAGGTCTTTGCTCTAGTTACAGCTTACCTCCGGCAGCACAGAGTCATGATCTTTCCATACTTATAAAAGGCCAGTCCCATGTGGAAACTACCATCACGGTATCAAAAACCAGATATTTGTGCAATCGTTTGGGCCTCCTGCTAAACGAACAGAAATCAACTCTGGAACCCGCACAGGACATAGAGTTAATTAGGTCTGTCTTGACTGCCAGGGCATATCTCACACATCACCGCTTCACAGCGCTACGCGATTTTGTGACTATATTAATCACAAGTCCTTCCAGTACGGTACTTACCTGCCTCCAATTGATGGAACATATGGTTGCTACCACTTATGTTGTCCAATATGCATGCCTCCATTTCTGAGCCCTGCAGCACTGGCTAGCATCAGTCTACAAGCCTTCTTGTCATCCTCTTCTCAAGCAGGTCATTGTTCTCAAGAAGGTGCTGGTCTCGCTCAGGTGGTGGACACTACCCAGCAACATCCCAGCAGGAGTACCCTTCCACCAACCTGAACCATTGATGCAGATTACTACAGATGCTTCTTATATGGGCTGGAGCACACACCTGCACAGACATGTCATTCAGGGCAGATGGTTGCCACATGAATCTGCACTGCACATCAATTTCCTCAAACTTAGGGCCGTGATGACGGCATGCAACCACTTTGTCACCATCATCGCCAAATGTACTGTACATATACTTACCGACAACATGACCACAGTGTTTTATATAAACAGACAGGGGGCCCCCTCCCTATCACTCTGTGCAGAAGCAATCTATCTCTGGAACTGGTGCATCTGTTACGGGATCACCCTCAAAGCGTCATACTTATCTGGGGTGAACAATGTCTGGGTGGATGCTCTGAGCCACAACTTTTCTATCGAACACGAGAGAGAAACTACACTCAACAATGCTTACCTCCATCTTTTGCTATTGGGGATATCCTTCCATAGATCTCTTTGTGACCCCCAGCAATACCAAATGCTCCCACTTTTGTTCATAAATGGGACTAGGCAAGAGATCCCAGGATGATGTGTTCCTCATGATGCTGGTCATCTGAAGTGGGCTGTGCCCACAAACGCTCATGATACCATCTACATGTTTGGTTAGTCTTTAAAGTGCTACCAGACTGTTTGTTGGTTTTTTTTAAGTTTATCCTGTACAGACTAACTTGGCTACCCCCTGAAGCTTTTTTTCAGAATTAAGAAACCAATTAGAACTTGAAGAAGGAAGGAACCCTGTTTTCCTCTTCCAATATATTGAAAAAACTAGATGTGAAAGGATGATATCTATTCTAAAATCTTGAAGGTCCAGATGGTATTTAGTGACCAGAAGCAATCAGTTCAGTTCACTAACTATAGATATTAAATAAAAGGCTATATGTAAATCAGTTGTTTATAAATGCAAAATGTTTGATTTAAAAAAAACTGTCTCTAGCACATTTATTTCATTGGATTGAACTAAAGAAAAGACTTGTGTTCCCATTGAATTCTAATTTCCATCCAAATATAGCTGAACACAAATCACAAATAAAAAATTAATCTAGTACATAAGAACTACATCATAGCATTTTATAAAAATGCATCCATTTGATAAAATATTGTAAAAGTAAACATCTGAATAAGTACATTAAGCTTCATAATTGTTTAAAGAAATGTGTATAGATATATTGCATCTTTCTGATTAGCAAAAAGGACCAAATTTGATGTAAAAACTCCATTTAGTTACAGATCAGCATGGTTACAAAACAAAATTAGATTCAGATTTTTCTTTATGAAAATGCTTAACGTGCAAATGCAGAGCAAGATTAAAATCAAATATTTAAATGAAGGTTTCCTACTTCCTGATTTAATGATTATCATCAGTGATTTAAATTGCTTTCATTTAAATTAATCCACCCTGCGCAGGATGTTGTAGAAGTCAAGAACTTAGCAAGATTCAAAGAAAGATTGGATATTTTGTATGCATAACAAGAATAGTACTATTATAGTAGAAATTAAAAGGCTTCAAAAGGAATATAAAACATGCTCTCTGGGGAGTAGTTATCACATACATCTATTGAGGGATTGCTTGTACCTGCCTCTGAAGTCTGTGTTGATGCAGAAGAATCCCCAGTTTGAAACACCTGATCAGGCAGGCGCTGACGTCAAGTCTACACTTACTGTATTGTCCCAGAAACAAAAAACAGGACTGTGTAGCACTTTATTGTCTCAGGCCTTTTTGGTCATTTGCATCACTCTTCCATGGGGGTCCTTTTATGAGATACCTCTTCTGATTTTGCACAACATAAATCTCCGCAAAGTTCCTTTGCCTTTTCTGCCTGCCTCTGTGCCTCTTAACAGGTCCTTTCCACAACCTACCTGACTGCTGCTCTAGTGCTCTTAATGGAGAGCCCCACTCCAGGTTTTTCCTTATGTCTGGTTTTCTTAGGGCCATTGTGGGGAGAATAAAGCACAAATTGCTCCCATGAAGCTCTATGGACAGAACAATAAAGTTTTAGAGAGTTCTGCCTTTCTCAGCATTCATTGCTGTCTCAACCCCTATTCTGGGCTGAATCAGGTATTTGCCTGATTAAAGACCCTTGCCATTAAAGACCCAGAACTTCTATAGTACCTTAGATGTCTGTTGCCATATTTTGACTGAGGACTGTGTCCTGCAGCTTTTCAATGATTGTCCTCTCTGTCTTGCTCTAGGGTATTAGAATGATTACCTTTGGTAAGGTTGGCTGGTTCTGAACTTTATTCAGTGGAGCCAACAAACTCTTCATAAATCTCAAATATTTCAGCAGAGGTTAATCTCCCCTATAATTGAAGGACTTGTTTGCTGTTGGGAGGGATGGGAAATGATTGTTTGCTTTTAATTGTTGCTCATAAACTAAAACTATATAGCAAATTTACTTTCATTAATAGAGAGAGATGGCTCTTTTTATAGAACTATGAAAAAGTTACATTGATTTTGGTTTAGCAGACTTTCCATTAGATACCAGCAGTATTCTACTCCCTTTTTGTGGTAATTGGCTGTGAGCTCCCACCATAAGCATTAATGCATTTCTTGGGATATACTGCTTAATAAGCAAAGACAATTCCATTAGAAAGTATTTTGAAATTATTCTGGAATGGATGTTTGGTGGCTTTTATGTTCCCACCTATAATTGATCATCTGCTTCATAAGATAAGTTGAGCTCACACCTTGCAAGGTAATATATAAACTGAGAGCACTCTCTCCTGGCAGTGGGGAAAAGTTCTGTGCGCTGATTCATATGGTAACTGAAGTACTAACCAAACTCTGTCCCTGTACATTATTTAACAAGATGCTTCCATTTGCCATTTCAGGTCCCACTGAAATCAACCAGACATGTCAGTTTTCAAGATGAAGATGAAATTGTTAGAATAAATCCTCGTGATATTTTAATACGTCGTTATGCAGACTACAGACATCCTGACATGTGGAAAAATGACTTGGAGAGGGATGAGATGGACTCCAATATACAGTTTTCTAAGTCTGACAATAAAAAATTGGACTATCTTTATCCATGTGGGGATGGAACTAAGCTGAATTCACTAAAGGACACAAAGAATTCTGTGGTATTTAAAACACAGCCTTCCTCATTAAAATTTAAAAAGTCAAAAAGAAGGAAAGAAGACGGTGAGCGTTCTCGCTGCATATACTGCCAGGAGAGATTTAATCATGAAGAGAATGGCAGGGGGAAATGTCAAGATGCTCCAGATCCTATAAAAAGATGCATATACCAAGTTAGTTGCATGCTTTGTGCAGAGAGCATGCTATATCACTGCATGTCAGACTCTGAAGGCGATTTCTCTGACCCCTGTTCATGTGACACTAGTGATGACAAGTTCTGCTTACGATGGTTAGCCCTAATAGCTTTGTCATTCATTGCCCCATGTATGTGCTGCTACCTCCCCTTGAGAGCATGCCATCACTGTGGTGAGGTATGTGGGTGCTGTGGAGGAAAGCATAAAGCTGCTGGATGAACAGTTTAGTGCCAGATAGAGCTGAAAATCTTTGTTTCCAGGAAGCATCTATCTTGGATTTGTGGAAGCTTTTGGCAAGCAAAAGGAAATCTTATCTCGTGTAAGAGAAGCCTGATGTGGAAGAAGCAGCAAGACTTGTCAGACCGTAGCATTTTACAAATGCTAGCCATGCCTAACTATTTCCTTTCAGTGCATGGTGTTTCGTTGCGAGTTATGAAGGCATTTGGAAAAGGAAGCCTTTTCTTATTATTGGCTATAAAATGAGTATATAAACTACAATATACTAAAAGGGATTAACTTTTGCCATTTTGTACATTCATGGTTTAGGTGATGGGGCTCTTAAAAGAATTACAAATTATTTGAGAGGAAATTAAAAGTGCACTAATGACAGTTGATTTAAAACTAAGAAAAGTTAATACGTGGCAAATGAGAAATGAAACTGATTTAAGTGCAACTAAATCACTTATTAATAGATTTTGGAAGCAGCTTTATATATAAATAACAAATGTTTATATTTAACTAAATGTGTAAGGTACGAATTATTACATATTCAACTTTTCTTTCCCCTTCCAGATATAGAGTAGGTATGTATCATATCTACAGTCACATTCCATGATAGTATTTTAAGTATTTAATTAGTTTATTTAGTAGCATTTCTGTTCCAGATGGACAAATTGGTATTTTCAGTCCTATTTCCAATCAGCCACAGTTTATATTGAGTTGTAACCATGCATTCTGGTAATCTGTAAAATCTTTAAAATATTAATTATAGTCTTGAGTGACCAATATTATTTGTTAAGCACAGATGTAATTGTTTAAAATGTTCTAACAGGAACATAACATTTATTTTTATATGTAAATGACTTTGGTTTCAACAATATAGCAAAAAGGAAGTTGTTTTCTGTTACTCAACCAGCAAGTTGTTTTCTTTTAGGGTGTCTTCCAAAAATATTTTATTGAATTTACAAATGTTCAACAAAATAAAAGGTGCAATGAGACAGTTGTAATGATTTGTCATCAGTGTTCTCAGTTTATCCTTCTGTTAAACTAGGATTATGTTCAACTGTTTATCAAGTACTATGATTAAACTGAAAGATTAATCATTAACAAAAATTGAAATTGTTTTCATTATTTTGAATTCTAGCATCTTGCATCTTTATATTTAAACTAGCAAGAATAAAATTATTGTTTAAAAAATTAACTTACAGCCCATGAAAAATTGGAGTGAATTTTTTTGAATGAGAGATGGCGTGCATGTGTATGTGTGCGTGCATACACTAAATGTGTATACAATTGGCCACAACATTATATTACTAAATGTTTAATTTACACAGGAACTGGTCAAATATTCAATTGATTAACTGTTAGAGAAATTTTAAACAAGTTGTTATGACTTATTATATGTTACAACAAACTGCATTCACTCAATTTTCAGTTAATGTCGTGTTAAATGTCTAACAAGTAAAGGCATTCATTATTTTAGGAAGATATCTCTATAGGGATGGAATAGGAAAAAATGTCCTTAGTATATTCTTCCTATAAGAAGTTGCATAGTTGATTTTTTTTCTTAGTTTTCTATGCTTTTTTCCCCAGTGTGGGGGTTTGTATCTTTTCTTTATTACATATATTAAAGCTTTTGTTAGCTCTCTTCTGTAGCCCAGGAATCAAATTCTGAACAAATGTATATAACACTATCTGTAAAATACTTTTTTAAATAAATCATTTATATTTATATGACAGCTTGAATTGACACCATTGTGTACATAGAGCATCTTGAAGTATTATTTCACATTGAAAAGAAGACAGATATATTGATAACTATAGAAGTTATGAAAGAGCTTCTAGTTTTATACTAAAAATTGATTGGATGAACTAAGTCCAAGAATATGACACTGTAGCAGCAGTCTTAAGTCACATTTTTACTGTTTATATATTTGAAAGCTGCTACTCTGAATGATTTTCATGCTTCACATGTTTTCAGATAAACTTGGTTGCCTAGAATAGACTGTTACTTAAACTACTTTTCATTAGTGAACTGGGAAAGTTTTTCTTGTGAATAAAAAAATTTGTAAGTGCTAGGTTTTTAATCCGATTGAGTGAGGTATGAACAACCTAAGAAAAGAACTTGCTGGCTGTATAGGAAAATGTATAGGAAAATACTGTAGACTTGTATTGTGTGTGTATATACTTCAGGAAAAAAATGAGTTTAACAATTTCCTCTGAGCACTATTCAGCATAGTGCAACTCCTAGTCCTGTACTGTATTTTATATGCAACATATATGCTTTAATATTTTTACTGAATGTGTGCAGTAGTATTCTCAATTTGCATTTAACCACTTTGCTGCTAAAATTTTGTCCCAGTCCCTTTTCCTTTCCTTTCTTAAAATTTGGTCCATTAAAAAAATTAATGCCATTATTACCTAAGTTAAGAGTAATGAAAAGAATTACCATAATATACATGGATGCATGTGTTGGATGTAGTAAAGCAGAAAGACGTATGCCCTCTCTTCTGTTTGGGGTCTTATTCGCTTTTGGAGGCACTTTCTGATTATCTGAAAATTGACACTTTGCAAAGCAATTCAGGAACTGCCCCTTGCATCCCGGCCTTTGTCTATGGTAGTATTAAGTGAAGTTTACCTTTACTTCTGAAAGCTTTTCTTAAGTTTTTGAAGGGGAAGAGGGAAACATCATACAACATTTTTTTTCCTAAAAAAATCAGAACTCAAATTTTTAGTCAGGTAGCTTTGTAATAGAGTATTGTGCTATCACATGGCAGACCTATGTTTTAGGAAACAGCCAGTTTACAGACATGAAAAGAAAGCATTTAGTCTCCTGAGGAAAGAGGTCAAGTATAGCACTTGGGCACCACCTAATGGAAAAATTAAAGTCGCATATGATTATATTGCCCAGTCATTTCATGTAGCTATATTCCTATAGAAATGGCCAGCTAAATACAGCAGTAGACTGTTTGAGGTATGAATTAAGTAGAAACTATTTGGAAATGGGAATAAAAACCCTTATTCTGATTCCTGAGATTTTACACCTTTAAAATGTTTTTGTTACATCTGACTTTAAAAATAAAATGTTTGCCAGAGTACAAATTTGCAAGATGTACCATGGTCTAAAATATAAAAAGTATATATCACTGAAATGAAGGTAATGGCTAAAATCATGCCTGAAAAAAGATGGAGTTACTTTGTTTGGAGTTTTTGCTAGTTCCAAGGTGATGATAGAAATGCTCATGTAGATAGAGTATTTTAATTCTTTGTGTAGCTTTTTTTAACAACCGTGAACAAGCAGGCCCAACAGTTGTAAAGGAGGAATATCTAAAGTGTTCAGGCAAAATTCTTAAAATACTGAGAAATCTGTGGTAAATAATTGTTGCTTGAACAGCACAGTAAATGGTTGGAAATAATTCACAAGTGTCTATAGCAAAGTTGAGGGATGTTTAACACATGCACTGTGCTCTGGATAAGCTATTTTAAAGAATGCATAGATTTTTGCATGTTGAAATGTGGCACTTCCATTTCTGACTTGTTCTCTTTTGGATGATCTTTTCATGTGTATTTAAAGGATAAATTTGAAAAATCCCTTGTAAATAATGCACAATTTTAAAATAGGATTTTAAATCTTCACAGAATTAACACCAAGGTATGTGAACAGTACACTAATGCATACATATTCATTAAAGGAATCTCAAAATAATAATGATGTTAGGTGCAGGGTGAGAAGCCTTTTGGTACTGTTAATCAGCAGCCAGGTGGTTAAAACTTCCATATGCTATTTAGTGCACTGATAAATGTACGCATTTTTTTCTGAAAGCTTCTTAAATTGCAAAAGTTGTTCTTAGTTTTTTGAGAATTCTAAAGCATTACCCTAGTGGAGGAACAGTTGTATTTGAAGCTACAGTATAATCTGTACATAGATTTTCATTTGTGAACATTGCCTCTTATTTTGCTTAATGCCATTTGCTTTCTCCCCTAACAATCTCAAAAAGTGCCTCACTTGTATATTATTTCCATTAAAATCTTAACAGCTATTTCTACTAAATGATGTATGATTTAGTTTTAACTCATGTCATAGATGTATTTCTTCTATGTATAAGAATATAGCTTGTTACTTTTGAGTATATAATGTAAATATGCATATATAAGTTTGTAACTGTTTTGCAACATCATACACTTGTAAGTTGGCATCAGATATCATAAAACAGTTTCAATGTTTTTCCTGCAATTACCTGATTAAAACTATCATGAAATTAAACAGCTGACATATTTTTCCATTCTTTTTTGGGGCAGCTCAGGATAGTACATACACATTTAAGAATTGTTGCTGGAGAGTAGAATACATATAGCATTAATATTTTACTAATTAAGAAAAACAATCAAATTTCTAATACATTTGGAAAAAATACGAGCCATTCTGTTACTGTGAAACTCTTGCATTCTTTACTTTATCAGTTCTAAAGGTATTACTATTGTTTCTTAATCAAATACTTGTCTGTTTCAGATTACTGTGTGTACATAAATAATACAACATTAATTCTACCTACAGACCTACTGTGGAGCTGAATGTTTTTAGGTTTGCTGTGTATGCTGGATTGGTTTGTTGAACTTCTGTTAAATCATGCAAAATACTTAAAACTTGTTTATAACCCTATGTTTGAATTTTAATTTTTAGATTTTTCACAAATGTATTAGAAAAATGAACACTTACTACACGTGGAAAGAGAGTAGAATTTGAAAAAAAAAATTAGCAAGTACATCAAGGGCAAAAATCTGTTCACCGAAGAAAGTATTCAGTGGAAGTTGGACCTATAGAAAGCAGAAACGTTGGTTATGATTTGAAAATTAAGTTGTCAGAATTTAGTACAGACCGTTCTAAATTGAATTCCATGTGCCTCTATTTCTTGCGAATGCTTTCACATTTCTTACACATGATAAAGTAATATCTAGAGGGGCTTTGCTGCAGGCTTCCTTCAGCCATTCCCATTTTTAATACAGCCACTTGCCTAACAAATATCTGAGGATGGTTGGTCTAGTTACGTTAAAAAAGACTGAACATGTTACTGACATAGCTTTCCCAGGAAGTCAGCTAAGAGACTGAAAAGGTAGATATTGCCATAAAAAGGAAGTAGACATAAGAATATAAGAATGGCCATACTGGGTCAGACCAAAGGTGATTAACAGAATAGGTAATCAGGTGATCCCTCCCCTGTCACCAATTCCTAACTTCTGACAAACTGGCTACAGGCAACATTCCTACCCATCTTGGCTAATAACCATTGATGGACCTACCCGCCCCTGGACGATTGAAATACGAAAGGAGCACTTAAAGACAATAAAGTCATTGTGGAGAAACTAAATGAATTCTTTGCTTCAGTCTTCACAGCTGTGGTTGTTAGGGAGATTCCCAAACCTGACCTGTCCTTTGCAGGTGACAAATCTGAGGACTTGTCACAGATTGAAGTGTCATTAGAGAAGGTTTTGGAATTAATTGATAAACTTAACAGTAACAAGTCACCAGGACCAGATGTCATTCACCCAAGAGTTCTGAAAGAACTCAAATGTAAAATTGAAGAACTATTAACTATGGTTTGTTAACCTATCCTTTAAATCAGCTTCTGTGCCCAGTGAATAGAAGATAGCTAATATAATGCCAATATTTTAAAAAGGGCTCTAGAAGCGATCCCGGCAATTACAAACCGGTAAGTCTAACGTCAGTACCGGGCAAATTAGTTGAAACAATAGTAAAGAATAAAATTATCAAACACATAGAAGAACATAATTTGTTGGGCAAACATCAACATGGTTTCCTTAAAGGGAAATCATGTCTTACTAACCTATTAGAGTTCTTTGAACGGGTCAACAAAAATGTAGACAAGGGTGATCCAGTAGATATAGTGTACTTAGATTTCCAGAAAGCCTTTGATAAGATCCCTCCCCAAAGGTTCTCTCATAAATTAAGTTGTCATGGGATAAGAGGGAAGGTCCTTTCATGGACTGAGAACTGGTTAAAAGACAGAAAACAAAGGGTAGGAATAAATGGTAAATTTTCAGAATGGAGATGGGTAACTAGTGGTGTTCCCCAACGGTCAGTCCTAGGACCAATCCTATTCAACTTTTTCATAATCTGGAGAAAGGGGTAAACAGCAAGGTGGCAAAGTTTGCAGATGATATTAAACTGCTCAAGGTAGTTAAGACCAAAGCAGACTGAAGAACTCCAAAAAGATCTCACCGAACTGAGTGATTGGGCAACATGAAATTTAATGTGAATAAATGTAAAGTAATGCACATTAGAAAAAAATAACCCCAACTATACATACAATATGATGGGGGTTAATTTAGCTACAGCTAATCAGGAAAGAGATCTTGGAGTCACTGTGGATAGTTCTCTGAAGATGTCCATGCAATGTGCAGCGGCAGTCAAAAGAGCAAACAGAATGTTAGGAATCATTTAAAAAGGGATAGAGAAAAAGACAGAGAATATCTTACTGCCCTTCTATAAATCCATACTATGCCCACGTCTTGAATACTGCACCCAGATGTGGTCTTCTCATCTCAAAAAAGATATATTGGCATTAGAAAAGGGTCAGAGAAGGGCAACTAAAATGATTAGCGGTTTGAAATGGGTCCCATATGAGGAGAGATTAAAGAGACTAGGACTTTTCAACTTAGAAAAGAGGAGACTAAGGGAGGATATGATAACGGTCTATAAAATCATGAGTGGTGTGGAGAAAGTGAATAAGGAAAAGTTATACATTCATGGAGGTTAAGTCCATAAATGGCTATTAGCCAGTATGGGTAAGGAATGGTGTCTCTAGATTCTGTTTGTCAGAAGTTGGAGATGGATGGCAGGTGAGAGATCGCTTGATCTTACCTGTTTGGTTCACTCCCTCTGGGACACCTGGCATTGGCCACTGTCAAAAGACAGGATACTGGGCTGAATGGACCTTTGTTCTGACCCAGTATGGCCATTCTTATGTTCTTATGAATATATGTAGGGTTTTTTTAACCCTGTTAAATACTGGTCTTTACAGCGTCCTCTGGCAAGGAGTTCCACAGGTTTACTGTGCATTGTGTGAAGAAATACTTCCTTTTGTTTGTTTTTAAATCTGCTACCTATTAATTCCATTTAGTGACTCCCTAGTTCTTGTTTTATAGAAAAAAGTAAATAACTTGTCTTTATTTACTTTCTCAACACCAGTCATGATTTTATAGACCTCTATCTCATCCCCCTTGGTGTCTTCTTTCCTAAGATATAAGTCCCAGTTTTATTAATCATTCCAAACCCCTAAAAAATTTTGTTGTCCTTGTCTGAACTGTTTTCCAATGCCAAGATATCTTTTTTTAGATGAGGCAACCACATATCCACACAGTATTCAAGATGTGGATGTACCATGGATTTATGTAGAGGAAATAAGATATTCTGTCTTATTCTTTATCTTTTAAAAACGTTTTTAAACAAACTAACACAGAGACCAATATGTTCATAGTTTTCTACAACCCATGAGGAAGTGGGGTCAGAGAATATACTCCAGGGGGAATTCCAAGTTTGAAATGTATAAGTACCAAATGTGTAAGTAACACTTGACTTAGTGATTCAAGATTCTTTATTTATAGGAATTAAAAATGTGGGCAGGGGGTGTCTTCCATCTGCTCCATGAAATCTATCTCTTCCATTACCACTGTATGTCCTACCTTTCTAAAAAAGCAAAACAAAAAGTTAGATATGGTTTATTCCCTATATGGAGCTTTAATGTAGGCTCAGTAGTGTGAGTCTTTGTATTATTTCTAAAGTGTGAATGAATTGTTCTATGTAGACTTAACTCGTGCACACTTAGATTTTCTTAGTGCATTTACTGTTGTGCCATTTGAAATAGTATTATAATAAAATGCACTAGAGAGTACTACAGAGATATGCTGCCATAATGATGTACAGTACATAAAAAGAAAATGAAAAAATGAGCTGCATAAAACTTAAATTGTTAAAAATACACTCAAAAATTAAATTAATAAACACAAAGAAACAGAAGCCCTATCAATACTCATTAGCATTAATTTTATATGCCTCAAAATCTTTGATGAAGCAGGTAAATAAGGTGAACCAAGAAGTGTCTATTGAAACCACTTAGGTTTTTGAACCCTGTTCAAATGCTGATACCAAAGAATGTCTGTTTCTATAGCCAATTTCATGAGTAGTCTTAAAAGGGCATGGCTATAGTTGGTCAAAAGAGAACTCAAGTTGGGTTAACATTATTTGAAAAATCTCTTAATTTAGTGCAGTCAGTTTAGCCTTTTTAAATTTGTTTTAATAGATTGTAACTGAAATGGGAGACATAAACTAGGGGAAATGAAACTTAATGTTTGTTTTTAAAAAAATCTGCTTGGCTTTCTTCTGCAAATACGTTTCAGCCTGCTTCTCTCTCTCTCACTCACACTCTCACTCTCATTCACACATTTTTCTTTACACAGGTAATCTTTTAAGATATTTCAGTACCATCATTCAATATACAAGGACCTTTGAAACTTGCAGCTTTTTTGTGGTACAAAATCAGTTGATACCATCTTTGCAGGATGTTATGGTCATGTTAGACCACTGCAGCACAAATCTTGTCTCTTCTGTGCACAGTTCCTAGTACTCAACCCAATAATATATTACTCGCTGCAAAATGAACAGTGAGAATGTCCATTATATTCCTAGATATGGCCAAAAGGATCACTGCAATCACTTAGTACAAGGGTGGGGAACTTCTAGCACACTGGTGTCATGCAGTTCATCAGGGTTAGCCACTGGCAGGGTTTTTTTTTCCTGAGCATCTGCAAGCATAGACCCCTGGAGCTCCCATTGGCCGCAGTTTGCTGTTCCCAGCCAATGGGAGCTGCGGGAAGTGGTGGCTCACTGGTGCCACCAATTCCTACAGCTCCCATTGGTCAGAAACAACAAACCATGGCCACTGAGAGCTGCAGGGTTCCATGCCTGTGGACATTCAGGGAAACAGTCTGGCAGCCTGCTGGTTATTTACTCTGATTAATCACTTGTGGCCCACAGGCCAACGGTTCCTCACCTCTGATCTAGTGTAACCACCCAGAACTTATCTTTTTTTAACTTGATTGGATGTATCTAAATTCCAGAAAGGGAGAATCCACCATAACCATTGATAAATTGTTTTAGTGGGTAATTTAACTTTACAATTACTTTTGCTCCTTATTTATTGTCTGAATCTGTCAAGCATCAAGTTCCAAACATTGGATCTTGATACA